CATAAAGCTAGACTGACAATATTATTTTATGTTGTTATTCTGGATTTCCATCGGCATAACCGAGATCTGAGTTCAGCCTTTGCCTTCGAAATTTATAAGAATAATGATAAAATGTCAACTGATGGGAAAATACTTAAAGAATATTAAACAGGAGGCTTTCCATTGATCTCAAGACAAGTTGAGTTCCACTCCACCACAAAGCTACATCTAGAGCAATCAAATACAAGCCTGTTAGTGTTTAGGGTGCTACAGTTGCTTTTCAAGGTTTCTTTTTCACGTGCGTTTTACAGACTGTGATAAAATTGTGAATCAAAGCAATTATTTGTAGTTCTCCAGTATCTTTTGAAGAAATTTTCAGACAGTAAACAGCCGTATTTAAGATCTTCACTTAAGCAACAGCAGGAAATGGGGGATTCTTGCGCTGCTGTCTGCATAATAACATTGTCTGTATTTCCATTGATAAGTGTAGTTGGTTCTGATTGTAAATTGCTAAAACTTCACCATTGAGAAATACAACATCTAGTTCACTTTTCAGCATAGCACGAGAAGACTTGAGCACCTTCTTTGTCTCCCAGATGCATTTTGTCTGGTCATCAGATGACGTCAGTATTAAAGATCCATCCGGTGAAAATGTCACACAGTGAACCCAGCTCATGTGTCCCCTGCAATATGCCACTTTTGACAGAGATTTAATATTCCATAGTTCAACAGAACAGTGAGATAAAACAACTGCTACTAACTCATCATGAGGACAAAAGTCACAGTATTGGATTGTACTGTAATGACTGATGATGACTTGTGTTAACAAATCACATGTTTCAGTATCAAAAAGCAAAAGCTTATTTTTGGCTACTACCAAAATCATGTCACCATTTCTGGATCAAGAGCTACATTTCATTAAAACCTCCACATCATCTGGTTGTTCGTCTGCATTTTTTAAGAAATCTTTTATCCCAATACCTTTTATCCCAATCCCTTTTTATTTCATTTCCTAGTATGGCAAGTCTCAGAAGAACTGTTCTTTGCCCTGCTGTGGTCCCTGTGCCCACTACTGCAGCAGTGAAGAAAGGAACAAAGAGTAAAAAAAATGGATCCAGAAATTAATTGCATGGGGAGTCTCCTATTTGGACTGAGCTGATTGAGTGATTTTTCTCTTACAATAAAACTGAAGTTTGGCAGTAGCGAAATCTCAGTGCACCTTCCCTAGTATTCAAATGTTTTCTAGTCATTCTCTTCCTAGTCTGTGAATTTCCTCTTCTATAAACTGATATTCAGCAGGCATTGAAGTAATTGAAAGCCACATTTCAAATTTTCCCTCTGTTTTGTTTCCTGCAGCAAAAATGGTGGAAAGGTAATGTTGTTCCCTACTTAAGGAAGAACTTAGGCTTTTTTTTTTTTTTCCTTGCAGTCAGGACAATACCTCACACCTGTGGATAAATGCTACCCTCATTGGTAGTGCTAAAGTCGTTGTAGCAGTGAGGTCCCTACAGAACACTCAATGGAGAGCAGGTGAGAGTACTTTCCTTATGTTTTTAATCTAGTAGCCTAAATCTGATTATTTTGATGGAGTGAAGCAGAGTTGCATAAATCTTCAGAGACAGGAATCTAATAGTTATACTTCATGCTTCATTTCATTTACAGAAAAGACCCATCAGAACTATGGAGAGCCACCAAGCCTGATTATTTTAAACATTTCATTTTCATTTGTTTTTTGCTTAGATAATTTGAGCTGAATGTTGATACCAAAGCATACACTTTATAGAATAAATGATTCATAGGAAACAGTCCATTGTTTCTGTTTGCTTTCATTTGCAGAATAATATCAAGACTGATGTGTTCATAAGCAGCTTACAAGGGAGACTGTAGATAGATAGGATAGGCAGTTAAGATGTCAATTTCTTTTGGCTCTTCATCAGTCTCTAGGAAACAATAAACTGCTTCAATCTGTGTGGTACTAAATGTATTGAACTGAACAATCTCTTCTATTGATTCTGGCACCAAAATTAAAGTTTACTGAAGATGCAAGGACCAAGATCATCAAAGGTGTTGTTGATCCTTACAGGCTGTTAGGAAAAGTATATACTTAGTTCTGAAAGGAGCAGAGTGTGGTGACTGAAAGATTAACTTCTACCACTCAGTACATGGCTTCTTGTAGCACTTCAGAAGCTCTCAGCTTTCTTAAGTAATGGGACCCACACATTTCACAGAATCACAGAATATGCTGAGTTGGAAGGGACTCACAAGGATCATCGAGTCCAACCCTTAGGCCTGCACAGGACCATCCCCAAGAGTCACACCATGTGCCTGAGAGTATTGTCCAAATGCTTCTTGAACTCTGTCAGGCTTGGTGCTGTGACCACTTCTCTGAGGAGACGTTTCCAGCACCCAACACCCCTCTGGGTGAAGAACCCCTTTCTAATAACCAACCTAAAACTCCCCTGACACAACTTCAGGCCATTCCCTCAGGTTCTGTCACTGGTCACCACA